ATCTCCTTCAGATTTACACAGAAATAGCAAATTTAACTGGGGACTTATTTATGTCTTTAATATTCTGTAACTGGACAAAGGTAACCTGTTATCAAAACACACACACACACACACACGCCGTGCCCAATAGACTCCCTCTGCAACCAAGCATACCTCAGCAGGAGCCCCTGTTTTTATATATATAAACACACACACACACACACACACATTTGTGTTACTCTTAACACAGGGATGGGCATTTAAATGTATTTTTGAAAGGTAATAAAAAGAATCTGAGAATGATTTAAGTTAGGAGCGCTCTTAGCCTTTCTATTGGATTCATTTTTCAGACATAGTGTTGTATTATGTTACCTGACATTCAGATTGATTTGGGAAACAACATATGGGAACTTTGTAAAATGACAGTTAAGACAGAGGCCTGGGGGGGGCAGGAAAGAAGGTGGAATGAGATGGACATCATTGCCCTAGGCACATGTAAGACCACATCATGTACAACCAGAGAAGGGGAAAGACGTGTGGCAATGGTGAACAAGAATCAAAATGCATCTTGCGGTCATATATACCTAATTAAAATAAATTTAAAAAAAGAGAAAGAGGCAAAGATCAGCTTCAAAAGTATAGCACTTTAATAAAATCGGTGGAGAGCCCCGCCTCCCCTGAGTGCGCTTCTGCCTGTCACCCTGCTCCATGCCAAGAAGGCTCCAAGGTAGACCAGCATTAAGTACATTTAATATCAAAAGAGATGTTTTTGTTGTAAGGAATATCTCAAAAATAAACAAACAATATAATACAAAATTAAGTAAGGGTTTGGGTAAATCAAAAAAGATATTCAAGGTTGTACAAGAGTTTTAAAAGAAAGTAAAATTTGTAAAGGATCTTTATATAATGAAGTTGATACGGGTTTTTGTGGAGGTAAAACAGATACTCAATAAATATTAGTGTATAGAAATTATGTTTCTTGACTCTATCATATACTATGTTTTTGGTCTTGTTAACCTCATTTTGTATCATGGTAAGGCTTTGTGTCTGCTGCCTGCTAGGGTCTTGCAGAACCCCTGCTGTGAAGAACAACCGTCACCTACAGGGTGGTTGGATACCTAGCTGACGCCAGCAATCACCCTGACCAGTTAAGTGAAAGGGGTAACTATGAAATCATCAACATGGTAGTTTAAGACCCAGAACTCCTTTTTTGGGGGGAGGGGGAGGTTACCAGGGATTGAACAGAGGGGCACTCAACCACTGAGCCACATTCCCAGCCCTATTTTGCATTTTATTTAGAGACGGGATCTCACTGAGTTGCTTAGCACCTTGCTTTTGCTGAGGCTGGCTTTGAACTCTAGATCCTCTTGCCTCAGCCTCCTGAGCTGCTGGGATTACAGGCGTGCACCACTGCACCTGGCAGGTCTCCTTATCTTCAACCACACGTGACGATTTGTAAGAGCACCTGTCTTTTTTTATGGTATGATTATTATGAGCTGCTGCTCAGACTCCCCCTCTGGAGTTGGCGACTCATCACTTCCACCCTGGCCACCTGATTTTAATCAAGACCTGGAAAGAAGACCAGCTACAACGGAGTTGGGCAGGGCCTCACCGCGTGCTCCCGATCATCAGGACAGCCATCTCAACGACTAACCAGGGGCGAGCTCATTACCGAGGGTCACTTCCACCCCAAAACGTTAACATGTCTAGGATGGATGGCCATGCCAAAGGACACAAGGACAAACATGAAAATGAGACCAAAAGGTAGGAAAGAAAAAGGGGGACTAGTGAGAAGGAGAAAGTTCCGTGTTCCCGCCTCAGAATACAGCATTCAGCCTTAACTGGGAGGTAAGATCCAGTCACAGCCATTTTAACTGTAGCCCTTCCCTTTGCCCTCCCAAACTTAAAATTAGCCAGTCGTGCAGATTGTAGCACTGGTTCCTCCTATCCGAGCAGGGGACAGAACGGCATTAGGCATGACCACAGGGGACTGCCTGCTGGCTTGCTGGATTTTCTTGGTAGCTCGCCCATCTTTAAAAGTAGTTTGCCTTATGGAGTTACTTCTGAGCTTGTGTTTGATTCCTTGAGGCGCCCCAGATTTCTAACATGGGGGACAACTCACATCTAAACCATTTCGGCTCTTCAAAACCAAAAAATGGGCAAGAAACCTTTTTGAAAGGTGATAAAAAGAACCTGAGACTCATTTAAACAAAGCCTGCTCTCCAGGGTGGAGCACGTCATAGGCAGGAGGACATCTCCTTGGCCAAAGCACAGGAGAACCACTGTATCTCCTGGTAAGGAGGAAAGTGCGGCTTCAGAGGCAGCCGGTACTGCTGCACAGCTGAGATTCAAATGACTGACCTCGGCAGGTGCTGGAGAGGACAGCTCCATCTCTGCTGTCCAGCAGGCAGGAGGTGGATGGATACACTGTGCGTGGATGTTAAAGTCATCTACTCCCCACGGCTCAGCAATTCCACTTCCGGACTGTCCATTACTCCAAGAATGCACATGGGAGCACTGTTGTAACAGTCTGGTTAGGGAAGTGACCCAAATACCTGCTGGCTGTGAACGGGCACTACACTGTGCATTCGCAGACAAACGGAAGAAGCTAAATGCAAAACGGGAACTAATTTTACAAGTTTAATTCTGAGGTAAAGAAGTGAGAAACAAAATCCTATGTGCTCATAATTCCGTTTACATACATGTCAAAAGCAGGTAAGTCTTGCCTTTGGGAAGAAAGGAGCTCCAGCTGGGGCAGTGGCCCTAGGGGTGGCTGGGCAGAGGTCACCCAGGTCTGTGTTTTGTTAAATCACTCCCAGAAGCTCCTTACCACTAAAGATTGTATACTTTTTTGTATTTAAAAAAATTTCAAACAATTTTAGAAGACAGACCTCACTTTAGCACAGAGCGTTTTGTGGTGTGCAAAACTCGGTTAAGATAATCTGTGAGGATGGCTGCCATTCTTCTTTGAAGACACGACTTTCAAGGTCTGTCAGCACGCGCACTGCACCTCAAGGACAGGTGCCTCTTGCTGTGAGAAAAGCCCTTGCCGGTCATTGGCCCTCTGTGGGCCAGAAGATGAGGGATGCTGAGAGCGGCCGCTCAAGGCCAGCCCCTCCCTCACTGGTATTGCAAGCGTGTCCTGTGGTGACCACAGAAGCCACACACTGGCTCAAGGTGCAGGACTGTAAGCTGAGCTGCCCACGCGGACGTGTGACCTCACGGCTGCTCCCTGCAGGCAGACCATGGAGCAACTCCACTGTCTCAGGATCTGCAGATGCTGGTGGCTCCCCCTCCCCAACATAGTGGAACCTGCCAGCACCCCATCAACACCACAGACCGCGGCCTCTCCCCTGGGCCCTGCTCTGCCTGCTCGACCTTGAAAGGTCAATGTCTGCCTCTGGGCTCCTCTCCTCAGATGAGAAGCCCAGGTCCAGCAAGGCCACTGCTTGTCGTAAGCCTGGGGCAAGGGCTGCCCAGGAATCCTCAGGGTCCTCTGTGGAAGGCCACGCCCGCTGAGCGCTCCTCCTGTGCCCAGCCTTCCTGCTTCCCAGGGCAGGTACAAGCACCTTGGATTGCTCCTTAGCCCCACCTGGTGGGACGGTCTTCAAATGTGTCAACTGGCTAGGCCACCCCCGTTATCCAATCAAAGGCTAACCTAGGTGTCACAGGAAGTCCTCTTAGACGCGACTGAAGTGGGGGCTGGCTGTGCCTGCGGTCATGTGAGTCAGCCTTGCACAGCACTGACGCCCCTCAGAAAGACAAAACCCTGCTGTGGGCAGAGCCTGCGGCTGTGCCCACGAGCTCCAGTCTGCCTTTCCTGAAGTCAGGACCATCTGGCTGCCTGTCCATCTAAAGGCCTGTCCAGCTAGAGTCCTGATCACCAGAGGCCTGACCATCTAGAGGCCCGACCATCTGAAGACCTGCTCTATGGCTCTCAAACCTGCCTGGCTGGCCCCACATCAGAGAGAGCAAGTCCTCACAATAAATCCCTTAGTGTCTATTTCTTGGTTTGCTCCTCTTTAGACAGACGGACAGTCTATAAATCAGGCAATAGGAATATTTTGTGGCTGTACTCTGCCATTGTAGGAGATGCTCAGAAGAGACCCCTGAGGTCCCTCAGTAGCACTCCAGCGACCAGCAGATGCCTAGAGCCCCCAGGTGGGAAGAGTCAGGAGAAGAGGGGGTCAGTGCGAGGCTCGTCAATGGTGCTGCACAGCCCTGCACAGCATGGCACTGGACGGGAGGGGAGAGCAAGCCCCAGCACGTCTGCTCCGGCCCCAGCGCACAGCCTGCACTCCAGCCCAGGGAGCACATGGCAGTGGTGGACGCTGGGAGGAGACCAAGCATGGGGGTGACAACAGTCTCCAGTAGGCTGTGGTGGGCCACATGGCGGGCCACAGGGAAGCTCAGAGGGGACTTCACGGGAAGCCAAATGACTACTCCTTCAACTGCCTGTGGCCACCAGTGGACTCTGCTTTGTGCTCTTTTACACCTTACCTGCACTTTACAAATACTCTTTGATACATGCTCAATATTAAGAGTTTTAAAGGGTGAAGTTTTCAAAAACTTTTAAGTTGAAAATACGTCTGCTGAGAAACACGTGTCGGAGAGCCATACAGTGCATTTTCAGTGAGCTGCACAGAATTTGGGGAGCAGCACACACCTGCATGTCCCTGTCACAGGATGAGGCTAGAGGACAGCCACAGCACAGGTGGCAGCAGCACCGAGCAGAGTCTGGCAGACTCTGGCAGAGTCATTCTGCAACCCAGGGGTGACGAGGCCGACACCTGGATGGCTGGAGGAGGTGCTGAGAGGGTCCCAGGCGCTCCCTGGGTGGAACCGGTTGTCTGAGGAAAAGGCTCCTCTTCAACAGCATTCAGGAGAACCGACACCCTGAGCCGCCAGCTCTTCTCGGGCACGTCCCCTGCAGAGCTGCTGCCAGGGAACCCAGCCCTGATAGCAAGGGGCCAGCGGCTGCGCCCCGCCCTCCCGCAGCCCGCCCCCGCCACGGCACTCACTCTCTTTCCCCTTCTCCTTGTTCTTGAGCTGCTGCAGCTTCTGCTCGCGGTGCTGCTTCTCCAGCTCCTGCTCCTGGCGATGCCTCTCCAGCTTGCGCTGGTGCTCCAGGAGCTCCTGCTGGTGCTTCAGGGCCAGCATCTCCTGCTGCTGCTGTGGGCGAAGGAGACAGGCGTCAGCCCGCGGGGACCCCCGGTACCCAGGAGCACCCAACCTACTAGGTAGAAGTTTAACAAGTTCCCATTGTTCATAGGAAGTAAATGAAATGAAAATACAAGAGGTAAAGGGAGGAGCTCCTTGTCCTGTTCCTGATACGCAGGTGACTACATATAAACGGCTGTCACCTTTAACAGGGGTATGATAAGCAGGTGAGCAGAACAAGGGATCCCACAAGTCATCAAAAGTAAGCGGGAAATGTCTGCCCTCACTAGGAACCACACTCCACCTCCATTTACTTATTGGGGAGGTAGAAAAAGACCACACGGTCAGCTCTCTGCTTCTGCAGCACGTGGACTCCCAGGGGCCGCCGCCACCTCCCACTGGACCCTCCACCTTGGCCTGAGGCTGGCTGCCCATCGCTGTCGCACTAGCAGCCATGTTCCTGGGGTGTTGATGGCCATGTTCCCCTTGAGGAAGAAGAGGTAGCAGGACGGTGAGCCAGCACCTGGGCACAGTGTAGCCTGTGGCATCTGTGAGGAGACCCCCATGTCAACATGGGGACGAATCACCATCCTTGCAGCCATCAAGGGCCATGGTGATGGCACTAAGATTGGCAGGGCCCTTCAGAGCACTCTACCTCCAGAACCAAGTCTTCACGGTGACCTTAGGGAGAAACTGAGGCACGGAGAGACAAAGTGTGTGAGGGTCTTGGCCCAGCAGGTGGGTCCAGAGTGGGGCTCCAGCCTCCTGTGGAGACTGTTTAGCTCAGATGGTGGAGTAAGGGAGGGAGAAGTGGGGTGTGCAGGGAGCAGCCATTCGGCTGTGTGCAAGTATGAGACATGCACACACGTGCGGGTGCTGTGCACGCGGATACGGCTGCCCTTCTGGGTGGATGCTGCCCCTCACAGTGACCTCTGGCAGGACCCACAGGCAGGAGATGGTATATGCAGAAATATCTCCCAAATCTTGCCGAGTGATGCCATAGAACAGGGGCCAGGCCAATCTTCGAGCACTGCACCGCGCTGCACCTGCCCAGCCAGCTCCAGAGGGTCACCCTGAGGACCCTCCACCCTGAGGAGAGTGCCCAAAGGCAGTCCAGTCAGAGCTGGCCCCAGGCACTCTGCAGGCTGAGCCCGTGTTCCCGGGAGGGTTCAGGGTGTGAAGAAGGCCAGGCCTGAGGCCTGAGCCCTGCCCTGCTCAAGACTGACGGCGAGTGAGGTGGCCCCAGCAGCTCCCACGCTGCACGGGGCACTGGACAGACTGCAGTGCTGCTCAGGGGTTCTGCTGTTCGAATTCCATATGTCACTTACCAGCATGTCTGGGTCTGGAAATCCAAGTCACGCCATGTCAACAATGCCAAGGAATAGGGACAGCAGTTGTGTCGTCTATGAGGTGAACATTTTCATCCTTCCATCCCCCAGACAAAGCCTACAGCCCAGGCACATAGGTAGGGGCCAGAAAAATGACTTTTCAGCAAAACCAAAGGAGTTGGCAATAATAATGAACAAGCTAAATAACCACCAACTGACACAGGCCTGGTGCAGAGAGAGTGTGCTGGAAGCCTGCCCCTGCCAGTCCAGCTTAAGGGAGGCCCCAGAAGACCCCTGGGCCACAACGCCTTCCACAGGCAGCTTGGGACCAAAGCCCGCCCTGGTCCTCAATATTGACACTTTCACCTGGACTCCCTGGGCTGTCCTGAAGACTGGCCTCTCCATCTGTGCTGTCCACATGGCTAAGGAAGTGGCCTGACGCCAGAGCCCCTCTTCAGTGGGACCTTGGGCCCCAGCCAGAACTGTCCAGTCACAGCGGTGATCACACAGGGCAGGATCTATGGGGCACCGTGAGCAGGCTGGCATTTGGTACTAGCAAGGCCCTGCAGTCCCTACCCAAGGGGGCCTGCCAGCGTTCTTCTGAGAGAGTAGGCCAAGTCTGCTCCCTGTTAGCCGACAGCGGTTTTTTTTTGGGAGCATGCGGACAGAATAGCTGAAGTGTGGGGCAGATAGGCCCCAAGCTAGAGCCGGAGAGCTGGCAGGGAGAGGCTCAGCACACAGTGCCAACTGGGGAGACCCGCTACTTATGAGGCGTGCCCTTCCTGTGAGAATGCTGCGTCCCGAAGCTGGTCGGGCCACACAAGGCCAAGGGGCTCACGCCCACCCAGCAGCAGCTCACCCAGAGGAGCCAGCCCTGCTCCATGCCAGCTGAGGTCACCGGCACTGTGTGCACACTAGAGCCTTCCCCACAGAAAAAACTCACCTTCTAGACCACTCACTTAAATGGCCTTCTGGGGACAGTGGGACAGAAATAAGCAAACATTGGTCCACGTCCTTCGGTGACTTCCAAGGACCACCCAGCAGCACAGGGGCAGGAGGAGCCAGGCTGTGCTGCCTGGCCACAGGCCTGGCTCTGCCTGCTCCCCAAGGTTTAGCACCTCCCTTCTCCACCTCTGCAGGCTGCTGGGGAGGGCGGGTGAGGGGTGCAGAGACACCTGCAGGCTGCGTAAGCTGCCTCTTGCCAGGGGAGATTCCCTCCTGAAAGATGTCGCTGAAGGAGGACGTCTCACAGACACTCAATGTCACCCAAGACCAAGACGAGGCTGTCGAGTGGACACCAGAGAGACACAGCACAGTTGGATGGGGTGCAGGAACCAAGCCCAGCAGATTTCCAGTCCCCAAACTGGGTCCTGATGGGCACGAGGTGTTGCCAGCAGTGCACAGCCAATTCTGATCAGGTGGGCTGCTGCTGCCCTGAGTTGGCGAGCCTGGAGAGCCTGAAGGCAGCTCCGGAATGCTGCCGGCGATTCCAAGACAGTGGGATCTCCTGACCTTTTAGTAGGAAATCCAAATTATAGTATTGTGACCAAACAGTAAATGAGAAGGGGGACAAAACATGGCCCTTCTTACAGTTTCACTCTAAGAGACACCACAGCTGCGGCCTCACGGGGATCATGCTCTTACTGACCACACGCCCAGGTATAGTACTTCGTCAGAACAAACACCTGCGCAGGTGCAGACGCAGAGTCCACCTGGGCCTGTGCTGTGTGCTGGGTAAAGCCATCCACCAGGGTCGGGGATTCCACCGCACGCCTCACCACACAGAGGTACAACCCGGAGGGCTTCCCGGAGCTCTAGAGTGGCTTTTACCAGGTGGCACAGTTCTGATCATCCACCCACACCCCCTGTGCACCCCTGCTGTCCGCCTCAGCCTGCTACTTTGGAGTTCTCCCAGGATTCCAGGAAAGTTCCCATTGTGATATATTCAACAACAACTCCTTAAAAAGCCATGGGCTACATTTGTATTGTATCAACGTATGCCCTGACTGCTCTTGATTTTACTGAGATGCCTCCTTCCTCTGACAATTTACTTAACATTCTTTGGGTTTGTTTTTTGCTAATTTCTGACCCCATATTTCTGCTACAAGGATAACGCAACTCAAACAGATACCTCAAAACAAAACTGAAGCAAAACAAAACAAAAACGGAACAAAAATTCGTTGTATCAATTTTCCTATTTTTTTGAAATATATATTCGTGGTCTATCTCTATTACTTCCTCAGGGCCGGAACAACTTCAACCCTTGAGCCAACCATTTTTCCCAGTTTGCCTGAGAAAGTTCTAGGGATAGGCAGCTTGAAACAAAAACAAAAGGAATCCAAACAAGAACACATTGTTTTTTGAAATGGTCACCCATTCCTTCGCCTTCCCTCAGGGGCAAGCAATTTACCTTATCACTTACCCTCAGGTGTTCTGCTGCAGTCTGGCTGGGCACAAATCAGGAGCCACTGAAGCAGGAACAAACTTTATTTCCCAACTCCGGTGAACGCCTTCTCCTGGGACACACCACACCAACCAGAAATCCCTCCTCCGGAAATCCCTCCTCCCGCACTTCCCCAACCAATGGGAACTCTCCGGGAATCCCCGGGAGAACTCCAAAGTAGCAGGCTGAGGGGACAGCAAGGGTCTAATATACAATTGAATACACAGCTTAACATAACCATCATCATCTCAATGGCTTGCTGGCTTCACCTCTCAACCACTCCTTCTGGCAAAAATGCCATGCATCATTCCAACTCGGCTATGGCACTCAGCACCACTCAAACTCCCATGAGTCTCAGTGATTGATTACCAGTCAAGTTCAGTTCAATGAAAGCACCATGTGCTTGACAGAGTATCACACTCAGTTATGATAAGGACTGCCCACAGTGCTGCTTGAACCCGAACACTCCTGTCTGGGTTCTTCAAAGAACTGAATGTGGAGGCCATGACAATTCAGGGAAGCCGAGCTCCAGGGTCTCCAATGGCCACGTACTCCCTGGGGCAAGCACCACAGGAAGGCACACCTCCAACTGTGGGTGGGTGTGTGGGGCAGGTCCTGCAGCCAAATATGCCAGGCTGTTCCAAGGGCCACAGCCAGCTGTAAGAGGCCAAGGACGGTCTGCAGCCATGCTCACAGAGACCCCAATAGTAACTGTGGAGTTTTGTGATTATAAACATGCTTTTCTAATTGTACATGGTAGCAACTGTGAAAAATAAGAAAACATGAAAAATCATCTATATTCTAGTTTAGCTATACAATTAAAAGCTCAGACTTAAAATCAAACCAAACTCAACTTTGAGTGTTTTCTCATCTGCTCACATAAGCTGGCCAACAGCAGTGCTCTGGTGCACTTAACCACTAGGCAGGCACCAGGCATGTTCTCTACACACCATCCCAACTTGCCAGCCCCTCAGGACTGACCCCTGGACCTCTCCTCTCAGTGCCACCTCACACATCTGCACACCTCTTTCTGCCTGCTGTTCAGCATGCATGGAGTCAAGAGTGAAGGGCTCTTCCACCTCTCCTGCTTACCTTCTCTGATTTGCTGGTAGGACGGCCCCAGACTAGTGACAGGTGAAGAGAGTACAGGAGCTGCTGCCCCAGGGTTCAAAGCTACTAGGTACAGGCTGGCCAGGGCAGGGCAGGGGATACCTTCAGCCCCTACTGTCCATATGACCCAG